CTCTGGAGCATATGTTATGGGAATGTAGAGGGATTAGTACTCATAACAAGTATGCGGCCTCTGCTGACAGCCTTCGCGCGCGCTGGGAAGCCGCAATGCTCAGTTCCAGTCCTCGATGACCAAATGTGGGCCGTCCAGTGTGCCGAGGAAGCCGCCAGGATTCAAGGACTCCTGGCCATAACCTAGGCGGCGCCAATCGCCCATCCCATCTACTCGCCGGACTCTGAATAAAGTTCTTTCCTCCTCGTTAATTAGAACTTCGGGTAATTCGAACTCACGAACAGGTCCCGTCAAAGCTGTTTGTTTTAATGGGCGAAAACGGCCGCTAATTCGAACTATGCGAGCACTTGCAATGGTTAATTCGAATATAACGCGCTCCGGCACTGCTCTTAGCACCCCGCCCAATCTAGCAGTGACACCTGCGACACCTCAACGCTGTGCGCAAAGGGAAGAAAAGGCTATGGTGGAGTGTTTGCTCTCTCTCGCATGCCGATCTGCGACGCACCCGTGTCACCCTTCTTCTTTTTTCGTCCCTGCCCTACCTAGAGTCCCTTTTCCTTCCAACGCTGTGCACGAACAGAGAGAGGAAAAAAAAAGAAAGCTGTCGCTTGGTTGAATGAATGTGTGGTTGAAGGAAAGGGAGAAGGCACTATCTTCTGCAGCCCTTGCCCCTTGTGGGAGCATGCCTTTGTGCCTTCAGGGGGGGGGGGTCTCTCACGCACGGGTGCCACGCTTCCCCCTTTCCTGTCTCTGCCATGTAACTCTTCTCCTTTCAACGACGTGCGCCAAGAGACCAAAAAAAAAAAAAACTTTCTAGAGTGTTGGTTTTCTCTCAATAGGCGATCTACTTCTCTTCACGTGTCCCCCTTTCTCGTCATGTGCTAGCTATGCTGCGGCTGCGTAGCGGAGAGGCTTCACTGCGCAGTCCTTGTCGTCTACTTTAGAAAGTGTCGGAGCTGGACATTTCCGCACGCAACTTCTCTTGCCAGGAGAATGCTGAAGCCGAAGTAGAAATGCTTTGTAAGCTGCGTGTGAAAATGATTGACTCGCTGAAAGGCAAACATGTGCAGACGCACATCACCGATTACTCAAATCTTGTGATTTGTGAATCAATGTAAGTCTTCTGAAACTTCCCCCTCGTGTGTTAGCTCAATGCATATGCACCACTGCATCGAGAGCCCTTCGTTTATTTAGCTTTCAATAATTCAAAGTTCTTTTAATTCGAACAAATTTTTGGGCCCCTTTGAGTTCGAGTTATTGAGATTCAACTGTATAAATATGCTGGCCAGGACCACAGAGAATGTCCAAACCTTTAGTTTTCCAAATTAATGAGGGTTAAATTAACAAGCTTTATGGTAGTATCTCGATGCTGTAATGAAAAGTGTTGTTAAAACCACTTCAGGGTTTCCCAGTCATATCAATGAACACAATTTGGCCTCTGCATTTTCTCATTCTCCTTTGCACAACTCGGCAACATTACTTTGTAACACTCCCCTGTCACATTAACCTAGACAAAAAAAAGCTGTGATGATTCCGTCCATTGATTATATTGCCAGAGTTGGACATACACAGAAGACACCATGCTACGCCACGGGACTGGCACGAGACTCGCATCTGCCGGTAAAGAAGAGACCAACGAAGTTCGGAATAGCGAGCAACAGACACTCTTTCCGACAATTTAGCTTTGAGTGTACACGCGCAGGTAAAAAAATACTTGTTCAAAGCTGCAGACGCTGTATTGATTCGTAACAATATGCATACAGATGCTCTGCTATGATTTCTTGCTTGAAAAATGATCGATCAATTCAATTCGCTCTCACATTTGAATGTTCGAGTTCACCTAGAATTATGCTAATCATGCAGCTGTAGTGGTAACGCTAGAATGTACTATGACTAGGTTTGTGCGAATAGTGAATTTTAGGTTCGAAGTGTATGCGATAGGCTTGTGTGAATATTCGAACGAATAAGGCAGTATTCGAATTCACTTTGAATTGAATTTAAATTTTTCAAAATTACGAATTATTCGGGGTGAATGAATAGATGCATAATAGTCTACGTGTTACATTCTGTAAAGATGCTAATTTGGTTGCTTGGGCGAGTTGATATGACATGATTCACTTAAAAAACAGCACCATAAGCAAGGGACAAAAAAGAAGGAGACAGACAGTGCCGCTGTCTGTCTCCTTCTTTTCTTGTCCCTCGTTTTTAGCTCTGTTTTTTACGTGAATCTTGTTGTAAAGATGGTTTCACTGCCGCAGAGGGGTGCTATACTGTGAAAGCATCTATACACCAGAACACAGCGAGCTCAGTTCTTGCTGCCATATTGAAAAGCATGCAGCGCCATCTCTTGCAAGCGTGGCGAAGCAACACTCTCAACTGCCAGGCGACGAGCAGACGCTCTGCAAATCAGACGCAAAACTTGACAACTCGAGTTCGACTGTAAGCATGTTTCACGCTGTTCCTGTGCTGGAATTTTATGCTGATTTCGTGTGGAACGTCGAGGAGACCTTCCTCGACAGTCCGGAATGTCTGCAGCATGTGCATTGTAGACTACGGAAGCAGCTTCATCATGTACGTACAATTGCGATTGAAAGAAACGCGAACAGGGGAAAGCATTGCTTTCGACTCAGTCAAACTGCGACGTGCCTTGACTGTGACAAGGCAGAATTTGTGCTGTAAGCCAGCGTCAACGTAGCGCTAGAATCTGGTTCCAGCTTACATTCATGCACCGCATGTGTATCAGTTGCCAGTTCTGCCATACTCTCGGATGGAGGCGGAAATGTTGTAGGCCCGTGTACTCAGATTTGGGTGCACGTTAAAGAACCCCAGGTGGTCAAAATTTCCGGAGCCCTTCCACTACGGCGTCTCTCATAATCAAAGGGTGGTTTTGGGACGCTAAACCCCACAAATCAATCAATCATACTCTCGGAACACACACGTGCTGCAAAAGTGCCAGCCCGAACACTATATTAAAATGCTACGGAGATGCCAGCCGTAAGCACGTGTAGATTCGCCTAGCGACAGTCAAGGCATGTCGCAGTTCGACCGAGTTGAAAGTCATGCTTTCCACGCCGTTCACGCAATGCGATAGTAGGCCGTTGCAGTTGTACTAAACATGCACGGTGCGTGCATTCCACGCTTAAGTTGTAATACATATATTCTAATATTGACATGCGGCCTGCGAAAGAGTATGGCAATAGTTTTGTGCCTCATACTACAGGCACACTGCAAGCAAATCGCTGCTGTAAAGTGAAACAGATGGAGTCATGCTTGAGTAAACGCAATAGCTATACTTACTCAACACTTCACTGGGCTCAAAGTTTTTCCTGCTGATTGCGATTATATCCTAAGGCAGTGAAGCTCAGCGTTTTTCGTTGTGGACGGAATTTTGTGCAATTCGCAAAACACTGCACTGGCACAACTCCCGCGATGCGCTGTGAGCTTCATAGACAGTGCTCAGCGATCTCTTCCTCTTAAGCTGGTTGTTGTCTCATCAGATGACAGTGCAGTGGTACCCAGATGACATTTCATAAGCGGGCGCAGCGTGAACAGGCGCTTTTTCGCATTTTAGACTCTCAGAGCTACTGCATTACGTGCTAGGAAGGCGCGCCTTGGCAGTTGCAAACAAATTATGGCGTCTCTGGAAGTGAGGGTACAGCGCCGAAGGCACTTGGGTTCGAGATATGCGTGCTCTCGTCTATACAGGTGTATAATAATTCGCAGTGCAAGTTTTTGTAAGTGTGGTTTCACGGCAGGGAGGTTGTGCTGAGCCAAGAAAACACAGGTCCAAGAGAAATATGCACTGCTGCGAAGCCTCACTTTAAGCTTAAATGGAGATGTTTTTTTTTCATATTGATACATTTTTCGAGTTTCTTTTAGTTTAAAAGCTTGTTATACCAACTTTTGTGCTCTTGGTATAGCAATTTTTAACACGTAACGTACTTTACAGGCTATCACTAGCATTTTACCGAAAGTCATACCCTGCTACTGCTCAAAGTTGTTTCCACTTCCTTTGATGCAAGAAAATGGCATTTGCTCAGGCCTTGTTTCAAATTTAAAAAGAAATGTTGAGCAGGTTAGTTAGGTCATGACAAACACACCCATTTTGCTTTATAACATGCGACATAGATCTTATTCGAATTCGATTACGAAATTATTCGACGAAAATCATTATTCGCTTCAAATTCGCTTTGAAGGAAAAATTCACTATTTGCACAAGTCTAGAGTTCGAATGAATGGTGATTCCATTCTAATGATTTTGAATCATATTTGTATAACATATTTGTCTCACATCCTGTAAAGAAAAAAAGCATATTTATCGAAAAACCTGCACAGTATATTTTTTTAATATAAGCAAGGCCTGTACAAATGCCATTCTTTTTGGTTCAGAGAAAGTGGAAATACCTTTAATAGTCATGATTTGACTTTCAATGAAACAAGAGTAATTACTTGTAAAGCTTGTTATGTTTTAAAATTTACTATACTTAGAGCATATAAGCTAATACATTAGCAATATAAACTTGAAAAATAATAGATCTGTGTAAGGGTGTAATGTTCATTCAGTTTTGAAGAGGTACTTTGCAGCAGGGCTCATTTTTTTCTGGATTGGTGTTTTCACGGCTTAGCACCCTTTCGCTGCAGTAAAACCACATTTACATGCGGACTAATATGCATTCGTTTATTCGTTTCGAATACTTTGAAATTTTCTCTAGCATAAATTTGAATCGAGGGAAACTTGAATACTACACTATTTATTAGAATATTTCTGCAGGGCAGCTGTGACACATGTTTAAAATTATTTTCTTTGCCTGCCAATGACTTTGATTGCTGCTATGAGTGTGCAGCATGGGTTGCTTGCACAAATTTGCTCAATAAGGAGTTTTGTCTGTAGCGGCCCCACTACTACCTCGTTCGTTGTTGCGGCTATGTGGATATATTCGGGTTCTGCCCTGGGGTTCTTTTATTTAAATGGAAGCCCGACACTTGGTCTTGTTTTGCAGCAGCAGCAGCCATGGCCAAGGCAGCCGAGGCATCGCAGAACTCTGCTTACTACAACCCGGTCAACCCCGGTTTCATGTATGTGCCAGCAGCTCCGCCATCCTTTGACCAGGCCAGTGCACCACCGGTGAGTGCAGCGGGTAGCCGCATGGTACTCCTCGTAATTTCAAGCAGTCTCCATGCTGGTTCCTCGCATGTCATCTTACTTCAAAAGTAAACGTTCTACTGGCATGAGACAACTCACCGTACAGCACAGGTTTGTCTTTGAGACAGTCAAGTCCTTGCACCCCTGTCACGCAGAAACTCGTGTATATAAGCGACTTTTTACAAAGTTGAGCCTTCTTAATAGTGCAAAGTATAATAATGTTTGAGTGCGAACGGAATAGAATATTTTTCCAATAGTTGTCCAATATTTGCTTACTATTTTTCAAACACTTCGAAGTGAAAACTACAGAAAAACTGTTGCTATAAGCACATTCTTATGAGACAGGAACATGGAGGTGTATTTTTGGCTAAGTTAGTTAAGTACTGGAGGGATGGTGTTTCCTAGTTGTTTTAGGATGGATGAGACATTGCAAAGACTGAATAATACTGATTTACATGTGGTACAGCTAATGTGGTGTTGACAACACCCTCTACCTTTGCCCTCTTCAACTTCTGTAAAGGCTCAACTGATTTGGCGGACATGGGCGTGCTACTTTCGAGTTGCTCATCTGCCCGGTAGAAAGACACCACTGTCTAAAAACATCTAAAATTGTGGATCCTAAAAATCTGTCTCGATTTTTTCCGGCCATTTTTTTTTTGTTTGAAACAGCAATAAATAAAGCCCCTACCTATTTGCGTAGGTTCTAACAAGCGCTTTTGCGAGACCATCCGTTTACGGCTGTAGCGAAGCTCTGAAGCAGGTTTGCCATGATACCACTGAGTAATGTGGTGAAGCATATTAAAAGGGTCATTGTAATGGTGCAGTGCATGTCCATGTTGAAATCAGCGTTTTTTTTAGTCAATACATTTGCTGCCATAGCAGTCTTAAAGGCAGCTTCATTGCGATGCGAGAGTGTAATGGGCTAAAGCATAAAAAAATTTGATGGGATCATTGTCAATTGGATGTGGACTGTATTTGTCTTTGATAAGTTCTAATTCTTTAAATAGTCAAAATTCCAGTGTGAATCAAATTGATTAGCAAACACAATCAGAAAAATATTTGAAAGATGGAATATATGCACACCCCTACTTTTAATAAAAAGGTGTTGCCTCATAGGCACACAACACCGACAATCTCTTAGTGTTTCTTCTGTACGCACAACCAAAAGCGCGGGACTAGCTTTCCATACAGAACCAGTCAAAAGAAAATTGCATGTGCCGATACATAAAATTCAATGTCCCTCTCCAATTACTGTAGTTGTGATTTTTTTATGTGTTCAGGGCGTTGGCCATACATGTTATGATGCTGCGTTTCCTGTGACCGTGTGTGCAAAGTGCCTCCATGTATCCCCGAGCCCCGCTTATGTTGGTGCTCAAGGAGATAAGCTCAGTGAAGGGCTTATTGATAGCCTTTTATGAAAGACTGCTCCTGAAAAAGACACCGTTCACTCCTGTATGTCAAACTTTCCGGCTTCTCGCTCAGAAGACCTCCAAGTACTCCTGAGACAACTTGACAAGCATGAAAGGACAGGGTGCTCCTCGAGGCTGAAACACACTGGCTTTGTTCACCCTATGACATGGTGCAACTGATGTGGCCAAAGGAAGCCTCCTGCAGTGTACAGAGAGAAAAAGGCTGAAATGACGAGGGTGGGACACTAGCTTTATCCCTTTCAGTCACAAATTATGATGCGCTGTCAGCAACGTGTCAAATTTGCATGGCGTAATTCCAAGGCACTCAGTATTACATTCCAAGTAAGGAAATTACGAAAAACGTTGTTTTGTGTCAGTTCTGGTAATTAAATTTAATGTGTGTGCAACTAATTATCTAATTATTCAGCCACCAGTCAGCTTCAATACTTGCATAAAACGAATCCGCTCTCAGGCCCGAAATGCACGCACAGTTTGCTTTTTGGTTCGATTTCTTTTGAGTGAAGAAAATAGATGCTTTTCACGTTGGTCTTAGAATGCGTCACGTCGAACAATCGTCGAACATGGGAGTGCATCTAGAAAAGCGACACACTGCAGCAACATGCAGCGTAACAAAATAAATAATCACCAGTTGTCCACTCAGAAGGCCTGCACGAATCTGCTTATCCAATATCAAGCAATTGGATGAAAAGCGCAGTGCGTGACGTGCTATTGAAGCTGGCGTCCTTATTTGCACACACCATGACTGAAAGGGTTAGATTACTGAACATGTACCGTATTTACACGATTGTCTGTCGAACCTTCTAAGATCACGCTGACAAAAAAAAAAAAAAAAAGGGAGAACAAGCAAATTACGTAAAATAAAACTCATTTACATTGAAAATAAAGTCAAATTACAGTGTGCCAAGGTCGCTTCATAGCATTGCTTGAAAGCTTGCTTTTCTGGAATACCGTAGGGTTTATTTTCAGAGAGACTTTACAACCGAAACTATCTTTCGATTCTAGGTTGACCCTTCAACTTTGGATTTCAATTAACTGACAGAATGGGTTGACCTAGAATCGTGCAAATACGGTACATGAAAAATGTGAAGGCATCAAGGAATGACAATGCCAATAATGATGACACCTTCCTTGCCTAGCTCACGTATGCTAGTCAATTGTACCACATGGCTTCATTTTTGGGCAAGCACTCTTTAAAAAGACCCACACGAGCTGGTACACGACAACTGCATTGCGCTGCACAAGGACATTGAGCCAGAAGCTTTGTGAGCAGTTGGGTTGCCGAGCCTCCCAGCTTGTTCGGAGCCGCACGAATGACGCCGGTGTGTCCATACACTTTTTTTTTATGCAAGTCTTGTGTTGGCAAGGTGTGGTTGTAAGAGCGTCACTTTTACAGGTATTCAAAAAACAACTGTCATTCCTTATGCCTGCATATTTGCGCATGCGTGAGTATACAAAGCTTTTGTTCGGTGATCCAGATTCCAATAGATCATTGTTGAAAGTGAGCACTTGTGTGAGTGTCACTCTCGGTCCCAGCCTTGTCATTCCGCGCTTAACATATCTACCCTTGCTGAAAAAAGTGCCTCCAGTGGACCTAGTTGCTAGGCCGAAATGAGGATAATGACGCACTGCAGAGGTGGCGTATTGACCTTGGTCACTAAAAACTTTTGTTCATTCATCTTCCTTCATCAGGTGAATATTGCCCAAGAAAATGTGATGCCACAAGAAAGTGTCACAACAAACACGTCTGACATTTTAGACACAAAGTGTGTCATTGAAACCGATCATTTGGAAATTCAAGTTTTATGCTCTGTTTGCAGCATGTGTTCGTATTCGTTGCAAATAAAGTGCTGTAGAATCTTGGTGGTACCAATTTGGGTCTGAGACGAACTTCCCTGTCTGAATTCTGCTTGGTCCAATGGGCTCCAGTTATCCAAAAACTTCTCTGTGCCGTGACAGGCGATAACCGCCAAGCAATGGCTGACAGCAAGGTGCTCTGAAATTATGTGCACATTTGGCACTAACAGAGTAAAAACAGTGCGTGTCATTTACCACAACTGCGGTGTGTGAATTTGATTGTGATCATATATGGCGACAGTGAAACTCCGAAAGTGCTTGTGCATCCTAGTCAAAGTGATTGCCGGAACTGCTGCGGGCAAAAGCATGCTAGACAACAATGCAGTTTTCAAGGCATAGCCAGCGCACGCTGATTGAAAGAACAGTGGTAGGGACGATGCAGTGGTGGTCCAGCTGCTCCCATTGTGCCATTTTGTTACATTTTTATATTCGTGCACCTTGCTGCATACATTCAGCATGTGCCAACTGTGCCCAAGTTCTCTAGTCCGCCTGTTTATTGGCCCATTTATGGTCAAAAGCTTCTCTTCGTTTCAACAAACACAGCTAGAGTCTTTGAATAATGCATGCCACTAATGCCCTCACTCCATTCCAGTGATGCGCTTCTCCCCATTATATTCAGCCGAACCAAAATCTCTGAGCTGCGGCGTGTGTCTGTTGAAAGTTTAGCTTGTTGTTCTCTCTTATTTGCTTGGCAACTTGCGATAACATGTTGTTCTCTCTTATTTGCTTGGCAACTTGGGATAACATGTAGAACAGTTACCTTTTTCATGCGCAAGTCACTCCGCACCCTGTTGTGAGCAACTCGGGCCAAGCGACAACAGTTATTGGCACTGCATGCTGTAAATGGCCTCATCATGCGAGTGAACATTTGGCACTGCAGTGTTGATACCTCAAAAAAAAAAAAAGGTAATGCCTCTTTATTATGCTGCACAATGTTCTTCGGTGTGCCTATTGAAAAGGTAAGCCCAAATTCCCTTGTAGAGTGCATCTGGCTACGATGTGGTGCAGCTCCTGCTCGCATACGTCCAAGCCCTCGTCACACATCTTGATCGCGAAACTGATGCAACGCCTTGGCCAGCCAGCGCTTGTAGACACTCAGCCGTGCAGCCAGCCGCAAATAAAGAACAAGTGCTCCCATGTGTCCTAAGTGCCGTTTGACCAATAACCTGGTGTTACTGTCATTAAAAAGGAAGTCTTCTCAGCTTGCAAATTGTGGTGGTTAGGTTCATCTCCTAGCAAGCCGTGCGACGCGAGGGAGATGCAGACAGTGCAAAATACAAAATGAAATTATATTGGAAGAGAAAAAAAAAGCATTGCAAATACAATACTAGGCGTCGTACACGCACTCGGTTCACACACATAAGAAAAGAGTAAACTGTCTCACAGTCTGTGCGGTAGCCTGGTGCCTTGAAGTGGGACCCGCTGCGTGCTCGGATGCAGTCGTCACTTGGGTGCACAGGTCAGCATACCGTTGTAGAGGGCATCACCAGGTCTAGGCGTAGCCGCACACTGTCAGCGACGTCGGCTTGCTGGACGTGGTCGGCAGCTCCGGTCTTTCGAGGGCGCTTGCTGTACCGGAGATGTCCGCAGGACCATTCACCCAGAATTCGTGCCTGGCCATGCTGACACGCCGTGCCCCGAGGACGTCAATGGCTAGAGGACAGGAGCCCGGCCTTTTGAACCTCGCGCGTACTTGCG